CGGGACGTGGCCTAGGTATGGCCCACCACTACCACACGCCGGGCATGGGGAAACAAGGTGCAACCGCATGCAGGAGGCCCTCCGCCTTCCTAGGCAAGACTTGGAAGGGTCCAACAATGGGATCTCCACCCAGGGGAGACCAACGGGCTTCCTGAGTCAATCGGATGGCTCAAGCAAATGCTGAGAGACAGGTAAGGAGCAGAGGGATGCCCCTTGTGGGCCATGCCAACTCCGTCACGAACGACGAGCGTGGATCCCGGTCGGACATATCCAATAGAAGCTCCTCAAACCCTGTCACTCGAGTCATCAAGGTAACATTACCAACCCCCACTATTTCTTTATATGATCATTCATTCATCTGCTATCATTCATACATTCATACACGCATGCACACATTCATCCGTGCATGCATTCATTCATCCCATACATCCGAAGCATCGCATATGCAGTTAAATGCATCACAACGCTCCGTGTTGCGTCACGAAGCGGCAGTTGCCTCATTCAACATGAGCAACGACTGACCGAGGTTCGAAGGCCAGCCCACAAAGGGCTTCAGGCCGCCTTGCGTCAAACAGAGCCAGGGGAGAAAATACAGATGAGCCCTAGCGACCCTTGCCTAGTCTGCTCCGAAGCAGACAGGGTCATCTCAACCTTCTCATTCGATCCTAACCTTGAGCCATGCCCATAGAATCTCCATCGAGGGGAGGCCAGCGAGCCACCCAGGTCAGTCTCTAGAACGACCTAGGCATCTGTCGGGACGCGGGTTAAGGAGCAATGGAATGCCACATGAGGGCTATGCCGACCCCGTCACGAACGATGGACCCAGATTTCACTCGAACGTGCCCGTTAGCAAGCTCACCGAGCGCGTCACTCGAGCCATCGAGGCAAGCGACGTTAGCTCAGCCCCTCCGGTTGCGAAAACCGCAGACGGGGTAACGCACAAAACTCAACCAACCCCTTTCAAGCCAACGGGGCTCGGGGGCTTAGGACACCCAACACCTCAACGTGACCTCGGCTGCGCCTAGATCCATGACTCCGACTCGCCTAATCCCTCGGCGCACCCGGTGCCCGGATCCATGACTCCGACTCGCCTGATCCCTCGGCACGCCCGACGCCTAGGTCCGCGAGTCCATCTTGCCTGATCCCTCGACTGCGCCCGACACCTAGGTCTATGAGTCCGTCTCACCCGATCCCTCAGCAGTCCCTCAACTATGCCCAACACCTGGGTCCATGAGTCCATCTCACCCGATCCCTCGGCTGCGCCCAACGCCTAGGTCCGTGAGTTTGTCTCGCCTGATCCCTCGGCTGCGCTCGACGCCTAGGTCTGTGAGTCCGTCTCACCCAATCCCTCGGCTGCGCCCGACGCCTGGGTCCATGAGTCCATCTCGCCTGATCCCTCGGCTATCCCTCGGCTGCGCCCAACGCCTGGGTCTATAAGTCCGTCTCGCTTGATCCCTCGGCTGCGCTCGACGCCTGGGTTTGCGAGTCCGTCTCGCCCGATCCCTCGCCTACGCCCGACGCTTGGGTCCGCGAGTCCGTCTCGCCCGATCCCTCAGCTACGCCCGTTGCCTAGGTCCGCGAGTCCATCTCGCTCGATCCCTCGGTTGTCCCTTGGCTGCGCCCAATGCCTGGGTCCGCGAGTCTATCTTGCCCGATCCCTCGGCTGCGCACGATGCCTGGGTCCGCGAGTCCGTCTCGCCTAAACCCTTGGCTGCACCCGATGCCTGGGTCCACGAGTCCGTCTCGCCTGATCCCTCGGTTGCGCCCGACGCCTGGGTCCACGAGTCCATCTCGCCCGATCCCTCGGCTGTCCCTCGACTGCGCCCAACGCCTAGGTCTGTGAGTCCATCTTGCCTGATCCCTCGGCTGCACCCGGTGCTTGGGTCCGCAAGTCCATCTCACCCGATCCCTCGGCAACGCCCAACGCCTGGGTCCGTGACTCCACCTCACCGGATCCCTTGGGATCCGAGACTCCATCTCGCCCGATCCCTCGGCCGCGACCAAACGCTCGGGACCGCACTCTGGGAAACGATGGGTCAGAAAACTAGAAGGAGGAGGCTACACCCACCAAGGTGCCCACAACACACCCGCTGATAAAAACCCCCCAGGCGATTCTGCTCGAATCGCCCGGGGGCTCGGGGGCTACACCCGTGGGTGGCTTGCGCGCACCCGCTGTCGAAACAAAAGATTCCCCCACTGGCAACACGAAATGCCCCCAAACGATTCTACCCGAATCGCCCGGGGGCTCGGGGGCTATACCCGCGGGTGCGCTCGCGCACACCCTCTGTCAAGACAAAAACCCCCCAGACGATTTTACCCGAATCGCCCGGGGACTCGGGGGCTCTTGTCGGGTTCATAAACCCGGGGTCCCAGTCGACATTACGAACGACGCGCAACTCCTGGGCCGGCCCAAATACCTAACGACAGGCCAGAAGGGCGATCCAATCTTTGACCAAAAGGCCTAAAATGACGCCTGCTTCCGACTCCGGCACGCCTCTCCGATCGGAAGGCCTAACCAAGAAGGAACAGCGCTCGCTTCCGACTTCGGCCTGCCTCTCCGACCGGAAGGCCTGGCCAAGGAGGAACGTCGCTCGCTTCCGACTCCGACCCGCCTCTCTGATCGGAAGGCCTGGCCAACACCGCTTCCAACTCCGGCCCGCGTCTTCGACCGGAGATGCACCAAACCTCTGCTTACATCTCTTCTCCGACTGGCGCAGTCGGAGCCGACTAGGACCAACCGACCGGGGATACCTGCTCGATGAGGACCCAAGGAACGGGCAGAGCAAGTAAGGCAGGGCGCTCAAAGTCAACCGCAATACCAATGACCGTACCCTATATACCTGCAGGACAGTACCAACATGACATGTCAGAAGGATGCCCTACCACCTTCCAGGCATGTCAGAACCCAAGCAATGTTGTGGGCGCCGACGTTTGCCCTACAATGTTGTGGGCGCCATCAATTCCCATACCAGGTGAACACGGTAAGACCCCCCCCACATGCCTCTGGGCATCAACAGTGTTGTGGGCACCGTTATTTGCCATACATGGTGAATGCGGTAAAAACCTCCCACATGCGTCTGACATAAACAGTATTGTGGCGCCTACCATCATCTTGTACCCGACGGCGTAGGCAACAAGACTTAGTAGCATACGTACTCTCTCTCTCTTGCTTGTAAGGTCGTCCCCTTCATCTATAAAAGGGGATGCGCTCTCTCCCAACGAAAAAGATAGATTGAGAGAACTAAAAGGACTCTCGGACGATTCGAACAACAAACGATCGATTCACCCTCTGCTAGCTTTAGACACTCTAAAGCTACACAGAGCACGCGCTCAAATACTTAGTGCACGTAGGAGCCCCTGACACTCTCGGGCCTTTAGTCTGGAGTCCGACCGGACCTCTTGCACCCCCATCTTTCTCCCTCTCGTTTGTAACCCCACAACAAACTTCGATCACCTAGGCCTAGGAATAAAGTCATCGACCAACTCAAACTGGACGTAGGGCACGTTGCCTGAACCAGTATAAACCCTGTGTCATTGAGTGCTAGGCCACATCCGATCACAACGTACGGCAAAACTATAAATATTTACGTGTTGGTCACTTTCTGCACCGACAAAAGGAATGGACATTTTGAGCATCAAACATGAGTGGGTCTGAAAACTACATAGATTGTTGGTTCTTTTGGAAGTTGTGCGAGACAGGCGACGAAGAACTCACTAGCAAGTTGCTTTTTAACCGTATCTCTCCTCCACGTTGGACATCAGTCGTCGACATCGCTAGTCGTTGGGGACGCCCTAAGGTAGGTACGGCTCTAGCCCCTCCCCCTCTTCATTTCTCAAGATGGACAAATAGGAAGTGAGGGGGAAGAAGGAGGGAGAAAACAAGATGAGACCCTCACACACTCTGCCAACGTCTACCTCTATTATAACTAGCTTAAATCACAATCACTATGTGCATAGGGCACATGTGGATCGCCTCCCTTCCTCTACCTGGTCTTGTCCACCTTGAAGCTCAGTGGCATTGTTGCTCCTCATTAGTTTTCACCAAATAGATGAGCAATTATTAAAGAATCTATCATGTCTATTTAAGCAATTATTAAAAATCTAGCCACTTCTTTTGCCTCAAGTAGTGGGATCATTTAGCACACCACTTCCAACTTTCTTCCATACACTTAAACCTAAACGATTTACCTGTGCTACCCAACACAACATTAATTCTAGCAACACTAAATTTCCTCTTAGCCTCTGGACAAACTTCATCATTCGATCCTTGCTTGATGAAAAGCCCTCGAATATCACCTCACCCCAACACTGGCCTGCCCCAACCCCTAAAAAAACCTCCTAGCAACACACATCCCATCGTAGATGATTCTATAGATCAATCTAGAGGGCGTCCTCACGTTTGACATATCCTCAACCAATTCACTTGGCTCCGAGGCGAAGGTACTCAACAGCTAGTGGGAGAAAATACACCCCTAAAATTTGAAACACTGCACACTTCTCTTCATTTTGCTCTAACTTAGCCACTGCTCATATTCTACCGCTAGCTCAACTCACATAACCTTAGTACCCTACAAACGGATGTACTGCCTTTATTCACAGCTGCAACTGCTGTAAGACAGAGAGCAAAATACTATTGTAAAAGCAGAAGAAGCAGTTGCAGCACTGAAAAAATGAGCAGCCAAACAGTTTCGTTAGCTCATCAAATCCGCCTTGCACCCGTTCTATAATTTTTAGATAGAATTTATTCTACACTAATGCAATTTTATATTAAATAGTATTGTTCCAAAAAAAAAATCCATGCCCTAGTATCTCTAGCCCTGGTCCAGATGCGGGAAGGCCCATCCTGATTTCGGTCGGGCCATTTCGTGTTTTCACGCTAGCCTGAGACAATAACATCGCGGGGAAGCTGCGCTGCTTTCCGACCTTCGCTTTCGGGGTCGTCGTGTCGAATTGGGGGTTTGGGGCCGAGCGAATCGACAGAAGCTGAGGACGAGGGAGGGATGGAGGCGACTGTGGACCACCTGAGCGCGGCGTACGACGACTTCATGGCGGCGGCGGCGGCTGTGGTGGAGGCCCGCGCGCAGTCGGGCGGCGAGAAGAAGACGGCGGCCACGGACGCCGCGCTCGAGGCCTTCAAGCAGCGCTGGGAGCTCTTCCGCGTCGCCTGCGACCACGCCGAGGAGCTCGTCGAGTCCATCCGCCAGCGCATCGGCTCCGAGTGCCTCGTCGACGAGGCCACGGGGTCCGCCTCCGCCGGATCCGTGGCCGCTCCCGGCATCAAGCCCATCAGCGCCGTCCGCCTCGAGCAGATGAGCAAGGCCGTCCGGTGGCTCGTCATCGAGCTCCAGCACGGCGCCTCCGCCCAAGGGGCCGGCGGCAGCGGCGGGGCCGCTACCCCGAATGCCGGCGCCGGAGGGCAACACCCCGAGGAGGGTGGCCAGTAGGTATGGAGTTACTGAATTAACTAGTAGCGTCGTCCTTCACATATGGAATTGTAGCATTTCTCCTTTCAAGAGAAAACAAAGAATTTGTCGTTGCTGTGTTTCTATGGGTGACAGCATTGACCTTGCGGTGTTGATATTTGCAAAAACATGAACTAAGTCAATTGCGCTTTGCTGGCCGTTTTTGCCTTTCCATTTTGAGATATACACTAGTATTCAACATTAATGTTTTATGCCTATTGGTTATTGCCCAGTACTTTACCTAGATTGCTAAAATGCTGTTCCCCATAAAAAATTCTAGTGTCATAACAAACAACAACAACAACAAAGCCTTTAAGTCCCAAACAAGTTGGGGTAGTGTCATAACAAAGAATGTGAGATATATGGATCTAATTACATGATGACTAGAAACAACCTGGGGTAATGCTGTGCCAGTTTGAAGTCTGCACCTGTTTGGCCCAGCCTGTGTATGGAGATTGGTTGTTGCAGTTTTCTATTTGAGCCAACTCTTTTGTTGAGTGAAGAGATAAGGTTGGGAACTTGGGATCCCTGTGTTGGGATAGATAATCTTTTAATAAATTAGTTCCTTTCTTGTTCTATGGATCGTAAGTTTTATTCACCAGAGCTATGATTCCTACAGATTTATGATATTTGAGTTGACAAAGCAGTACTGGTTTTCATTGTCCTCAGAGTATATTCACTTGTCATTTTCACAAAGATACAAACTGAAATACTGAATTGAACAGTGATTTAGTAACATGGCTACATAAAATTAGACATACCCACCACTGTATCTCAAATGTATGCTAAACTATTGTGTGTAGAAAAAAAAATAGTATGCTACTACATGACAGTATGCTTGTAGCTTATTGGAAGTAAGCAGAAATGTGGAAGATGCTATAATCTGTTTCAGTGTCGATATTATAGGATCTATAGACAAAGTACAATTTCACAATTTGATGGCTGCACTCAAGAGAATTGGCTGGGGACTATGAACTATTAGGCATTAGCAGAGAAACATGCGTTTACATCCAACATTATGAGGAAGTGTATGCCATAATGGTAGAACTACTAAGCCATTAGAAAATAGAGGATATGATGAGTAATGTGCAGTATCATACCAACAACAGTAACATAGATTAAGACCACAACTGATTGTTAAAATTTGGCCACTCAATATATGCAGTGCACCTAAAAGAATATAGCTGAAATGGGTTATAATCTGTATAGAAATTTTAAAGATTGTAACATGCCAAGTTCAGGAAGTAGAGCTAGATAAAATATTAGCTCCATACTTATACTACACTTTGATAAATGTAACATGCTGAATGATACTATCATGTGAGAAAGGATATCAATTAATTCAAGAATATATTAAGACCTGAAACTGCTGAACTTAAAACACAATAAACTAATAAATTACGAGCATAGTTAATATATACTCGGTGTATTAGATCTTAAATCTACATTGACAGGCCTTCTTGTGCACAGGCCCACATAATTCCATTTTTAAGCACACAAAATCAGGGAATACAAACTCTTAAATCAGTTCTTGCAAGCACTATTGTTGCATTGCTCTCTTGTAACAAAAGAGACCTGCATCTGCATATCCAGTCATAGCAAATTACAATTGAAATAAATGCCATGAAACAACCTATAAATTGCCATGACGTAATGACAAGCAGTGAGGGCAGCATGCTGGGATGCTGTTGTTACGTGAGGATATCATAGCCTATAGCCATACTTACGTACCTGTAGAGCAGCATTTCTGCCAGTGATTTCTGAGGAAACAATTTCCATCCAAATTGTAGTGCATCCCTATATCTGCATTTATTGCAGTTGCATGTAACAGAAACTGTTCATGGAGGTTGCATCATGTCATAATGTGTATGCTGGAGTTCAAAAGAGGAAGCAAAACATGGCTTAACACGAGGTAAAACTCCTAATAGCAACTGCGCAAGACAGCTAAGCAAATTTGCAGGCTGTCAACCGGCCTTCTTAGTAGCAGTGTAGTAGAAAATTGCTGCAGAGTTCAGAATTTACAGGTTTCTGCAACGTGACAAAAACAATATAATTTAGAGTTCAATTTTGTCCAACACCTTCTTTTGCCAAAATAAAAAAAAGGAGGAATACTCCATAAAGATTTATATCTGCTGCTACTGCTTTTTGTATAATTCTAACTGAAGTAAAGCTGAATGTAATATGGACCACACTCAGGAAACCAAGATATGTTAATGCTTTAAATTTTATGGATTTTGAAAAGGCAATAGAAGTATACAGGTAAATTTAGACTTGGATTTAGTATTGGTGCCCTCCATAAATCTGTATAGTAGAAGTAGAAAGGCGATAATGTCCCAAAATTGCATCTCCTTGGGTTACTAAAACTCGTGGCCTAAACTCTGGCTGTGATTCATTATCATCATTCGATGGATCAATTCATTATCCAACAAAGATTGATGCTGGTATTGGTAATATCTTATTCATGAAGAATGATTTTAATGTATCAGAATATATGTCCCTGATTAAGGTTATGCTGTATTAAGAATTCAGTTAGCAAGAAAAGCGTCATAAAGAAGGTACCTTCATATTTGATAATGTACTGATCCATGTTATTAAAAGGATTGATCCCATTCAGTTCAAATATTTTTGCCTTTATCTTATATATGTTAACTTTAATCTGAGTAAACCTCCGGAGCCTTTGCTATTCTTAATAACACCGTTAAATTCCGAACTAAAATCCAGGAAAATAGGAGCACTCAAGTTAAGTCGAGGACTTGAACCCGAGTGGATAGGTTCAACCACAAGAAATCGAACCAGCTAAGCTACACTCAGTTTGAAAGGACTATGTAATTAACCCACCTAATACTGTGACAAGGACATCGACACAATGTCAATGCCCAATCCCTAGCGTCCAGGTAAAAATAGTGTACTGGGAGAATGCTCTTCGTAGCATGGGGGTTACGTTCCATCGGGACCTCTATTGCCATCAAATGCATCATCTGACATTTCTTAATTACTGATATAGAATGGTGGCAGCAAATCCTCGTCAACAACAAATGATGTTGTGACGCTAGCAAGAGGGAGTATTGCAATTCTTGAGACCTGGTTATACACAGCAATTGATACAACTAGCTCTAAGTTCAGCCAGACCATGCCAATCCGATTCTGCCTTAATATTCTGCTTGCCAGCTTCGCCCAAACTCGATCTGAGGAACCAAATATGTTGGCTTGTCCTCCAACCATGCTAAACAAGGATAGACAAGAGTGGGAAAGAGGGTCAAGTTGCAATGAGAAACTTCTATGATCACTGGGGAGGATTTTATTATTTTTTATTTTAGCGAGCGTCCATTATTTTAGGTTTGAATTCCCCTTACCCAGTGAGTCTACAGGAGGTATAAGACCTTGTTATGTTTTTTTTTTCCAACTGGAACTCCCCTTACCCAGTCGCATGTATATCTTTTCAAGTATAGTTTCTAAATTATACATTTTGATAGACATGTGTCCTGTTTATGTGCAGCAGGCCCTCCAGTGTGTAAGTATAGAACAAACTTGTGTGGTACTCAAATAACGGTGATAATGTCACTGCAATGAAAGGACAATATTTAGGCTGGAAGAAGGAATTTCAGCTTGTTAAATGTCCTGCAAAATGGTTGGAACATGGAGCTTACCTGTCCAAGGTCCTGTCCATGTCCTTATGCCATTCTACAAAATTGAGATACCTTCCTTCCCAACTAGATGTCTCTTTCAGCCTCAATTGATATTGTCATTTGCTAATTCCTTACAGCAGAAACTGAAAAATGTCAGTTAACCAAACATAAGTAGTATAGAAAACCACTATGAGGAGCTAGAGTTCATAATCACTTCATTACGACACTGACCATTCAGCAACAAAAAACTTTATGGGCAACTAAGATATAGTATATAGCAGTATAGCACCTTACATTCCATGTGGTCAGTTATATGTCAAGTTTCTTCAGTGACATTCTTAATGATATACTGTTACACTCTGATGGACCACTGTTATGCGGTCTATATTAATTACTTATTGATTCGTGATGATTGTCCTGTTATGAGTCCTATGTTAATGACTTATTGATTCGTGATGCTTGTCCTGTTCATACGAATTATGATAAGTTAACTTATTATTATACTTCCTCTGTTCTAAAGTGCCACTTCTCTAACTTTTTTGACTAAGTTTATAGACAATTATTTTAGAATATACAGTTTCAAACAAATATACTGTCAAGACGTATTTCATGATGGATCTAACGAAACTAATTTGATGTTGTAGATATCGGTGTATTTTTTACAAATAAATCTGGTTAAAATTCAAAATGTTTGGTTTAGGACAAAACTAAAATAAGCTACATTTTCGAACTAGGGATCATTTAATACGTTAAACAAAGAACAACCCAGGCATAAAAAAAAGAACAACCCAGGCATCATCATGTGGATTGCTATGTCACGCAAAGTTTTCCTAGAGGTAGGTTAAGATTCACTATAGGTGCGCTTGCTACGCTTTCTTAGCAGTGCCACTTGCATTGTTGCATTGGCTCAATTTCTAACTAAACTTTGGCATAATAATTGTGGATTAATTTTTTTTTCACATTGCTTTTTTGTTGGCGTGTCATACTTTGCCTAGTTTAGGCGTGGCGCTGGCAAACTTATTCGAGAGCCAAACAAGCCCTAGGTACTTGTTCTACCCTTGTACAGTACCCAATCATCACATGGTGCGTGTTAGCATTTGAAGTGTGCTAACGTTTTGTGTAAGCAGCGGTGTTTCCTCGATCAATGACAATTATGCAGGCCTTCGCGACCAAATCATGCCACCAGAATGATTGCTTCGGCTAAACTTAAGGCACACAACAATGGAGGGAGATAAGAACTGTGACAACTGTAATGGCAAATCTATTTATTTCAGATGAATGAACTGGATGAGGAAAAATTGTAGTCCAAATCAACCTCTGAATAATAACATTTAAGGTTTTGACGCCTGTAATTTT